TATCAGTTTTATTAGACTTTTCAACCAGCCAATTTTTGGTTTTATTGATCTTTTGTATTTGCTATTTTCTTTTTTGTTAACATTTGTTATTTTAAAATGTCTTTATTTCTGCTTTCTTTCATTTACACTGTTACCGTTTTTGTAACTTCTTTTTTTTTTTGCTTTGTTTGTTTTTGTAACTTCTTAAATTGCATGCATAGCTTTTAAACTTCCAGCCTTGCTTCAATACAAATACAAAGGTTTAATGACATAACTTTCTTTCTAAATACCACTTTGGCTGCAAACCATCATATTTTTATTAGTTTTTTTTTTTTTTTAATTTTGCTCCATGCCCAATGTGGGGCTTGAACTCGTGACTCTGAGATCAAGGGTCACTTGCTCTACCGACTGAGCCAGTAGGTGCCCCTATTATTTTTGATAGGCAATGTTTTCATTATTGTTCTAAGTATTTTCTAATTTTTAGTATGATTTGTTTATTTGATAAGTGATTTCAAGTATGTTTTTAAATTTCCAGACACAGATGTTTTCTTTATCTTCTTGTTATTGATTTCCAATTTAATTGCAGTGTGGTCAGAAAATGGGAACAGTATGAGACTGATTTCTTTGAAATGTGTTGACACTTTCTTTTAGCCCAGTGTATGATTAACTTTCATAAATGTTCCATGCACTGGGCCACCACTAGATGACATATTGCTTTTGTGCGAATTAAGAAAATGTGCTCTTTATTCCAGATGGATGTAGCACCACACCTGAGCATGTGGTTTGGCAAGTGGAGCATGGGATGGGTTTTGACCCCCACTTGTCCCCTTGGCTAGGTGCTTTTGGTCAGTGAACAATCTGTACATGGTGGCTCATTCATATGTTCTTGTAAAGAATGTTTCTTTAAAACAATTCTTTTAATGTTTCTCTATTTTTCAGAGAGAGAGAGAGAGAGAGAGAGCGCGAGCGAGCAGGGGAGGGGCAGAGAGAGAGGGAGACACAGAATCTGAAGCAGGCTCCAGGCTCCAAGCTGTCAGCACAGAGCCTGATGTGGGGCTCAAACCCACGAAGTGTGAGATCATGACCTGAGCCAAAGTCAGACGCTTAACCGACTGAGCCACCCAGGCGCCCCAGGTACAATGTTTTCTGTGTATCTACGAGAACAAACTTGTTTATTTGATATTCAAATTTTCTACATCTTTCTTGATTTTTTGTCTGCTTCATCTATGAATTTATGAGAGTGATAAATCAAAGACTCACCCTGGCACTGGATTTGTCTATTTCTTCTCGTAGTTCTGTTAATTTTGTTTCATATATTCAAAGTAGTTGAGTACATTCAAGATTAGGATTATTACATTTTTTCTGTTGAATTGAAATTTTTATCAATGTATTATAAACATCTTTATTATTTTTCATTGTTTTTAAGAGTTTATCTTTAAGTAATCTCTACCGCCCAACTTGGGGCTTGAACCTCAAGCCCAGGATCAAGAGTCATACGTTCTACTGACTGAGACAGCCACGCACCCCTTAAAACCTTTAAATCTAGTAATTATTTTCCCCTTAAGTCTTTTTTTGTGTGATATTAATCTAGCTATAACAGCTTAATTTTTGTTGATCATAGCATTTGCCTGGTATATTTTTCCCATCGTTTTTACTTTCAAACTTACTGTGTGCCTATGTTTTAGGGGTGTCTCTTAAAAATAGCTAGACTTCCTTAAATGTAGACTGATAATCTTTACTTTTAACTGGAGCATTTGGTTCATTTAAATTTTATGCAATTATTGATATATTTAAGTTTAAACCTACCATCTTCCTCTATTCTCTCTGTCCCACTTATCCAAAAAGTTTTTTCTTCTTTCTTGCCTTTTTTTGGGATTGATTGATTGATTTTCCCCCTCTTTCTCTCTTTCAAGCCCCCCCTCCCCCTTTGGTAGTTTGGAAGATATATAATATCCTATGTTAGTGGTTATCCTAGAAATTTTAATATGTATATTAACATAACTAAGTCTTCAGTTAATAGAAATCCATTACTGATACTCAGCATTCTAGGGGACAATTCCACAAAGGCCACAGTTTTTGCATTCATTCGTTGATTATTTTATTTATTTTGCCTTGTTTTGCTTTACCTTACAGTGACCTAAAATTAACCTATCACTCCATGCATCAGACTGTCAACAAGGAAACGACTGAATCCCTAGCCTTCACCACAGACCTCAGTCTCTGCCTAGTCCATTGGTACCTGGGAGCCGGTGAGATCCCCCGTGAACAGTACTCTCCGCTGGTGAGACAATACCAGGCACCAATAGCAAAGAACAGGCAAGCCAACAACAAGAATGCAAAAGATATGATAGCTTTGCAATCTTACGGAGCAAAAAGCCACTGGCTGTGAGGAATCCCTAAAGGAGTCATCATAACACGGAAAAATAGTTCTGCAGACTCGGGGAGAAGGGAAAATCAAGGCTCCAAAGGGCATCACTGCAGTCAGGTCATACCTCATTTGTGGCATACAGAGTCGTATGCATGCTGCGCAGAGTTCAGTGTTTGGAAGGAGAAATCACTGTGATAAAGTGGCGAGGTAAACCACAATACAGCAGTATGTTGTCAGTGGCTCTCATCAGGGGTTATTTTGCACCACAGGAGACATTTTGCTATGTCTGGAGATAGCTCCTTAACAACTGGAGTGTGTGTGTGGGGGGGGGGGGGGGGGGGGGGGGGGGGGGTTCTACTGACATCTAGTGAGTCGAGGCCAGGGAGGATGTTGCCAAACATCCTACAATGCACAGGATCCTCCCTGTCCTCTGCAAAGAATGATCTGGACTAACATGTGGATAGTGCCCACTGCTATATAGATTGATTATACAGTGAAGTTTACATAAGCAGTAGGATAGTGCGCCTTGTATCACTGAAACTACCCTGTAATAATGATTTCACAGTTTTCTTTTTTTCTTTTTTTTTCTTTTTTTAATTTTTTTATTTATTTCTAGGAGAGAGAGAGAGACAGCGTGAGCAGAGAAGGGTCAGAGAGAGGGGGGGAGACACAGACTCTGAAATTGGCTCCAGGCTCCGAGCTGGCAGTCAGCACAGAGCCCGACGCGGGGCTCGAACCCACGAACCGCGAGATCATGACCTAAGCGAAAGTCGGACGCTTAACCGACTAAGCCACCCAGGCGCCCCTGATTTCACAGTTTTAAAGGGAGGATGACGGTACATTGAGGATTCACTACACTTTTCTGTGCACTTTAAAAATATTCATAATAATGAAAAATGAAAAGATCAACAGGCACTCAAATCTCTGAACCTCCTTGAAATGGCAAAGGGTTTTTAAGAGCAGATGTCATTGAAACTGAACGGTGTATGTTTTCCACTGAGTGGCTTTAGGATTTTGAAATCCGACAGGACATTAGCAGACTAGATATAGCTGATGAGAAACAATCATGAACAACGTAGTATTTTCCCAGAATTTCTTAATACAGCCCATCCCCGAAACAGCTTTTCAACGCAAGTAAACCTGGTCCATTTGGCGAAGCTTGCCGAATTTAGAAGACACTAGTTCTAAAGTTTTACCTTAATATGTGTGTGGTAGGATTTTTTCCTTTGGTTTGTCTAAATTTTCTAAAATTTCTGCCAAACACGTATTTTTATAACCTTTTTATTTTGAAAAGTTGCACAAATAGAGCAGAGAATCCTTGCCTGTGGTTCACACAGACTCCTAAAATGTTTATATTTTACATTTGCTTAATCATCCTACAGTTTTCTTCCGAAACATTTTAGCGTAAGTTGCAACGTAATGCCCCATTATCTCTACACCCAGTGTTTTCTTAAACAGGGACTTTCACAATAGCCATATAACAAGTATTGAAATGATGAAATTTACATTGATACAACATTATTACTTAGTCTATAGATATTCAAATTTCGTCAATTGTCCCAATAATGCCCTTTTTAGCAAAACAAAAATGTTCTTTTTCTGGCTGGGGATCAGTTGTCCTGTCTGTTGTTTCTATTAATCCGGAGGAGTTCCTCAATACGTCTCTTTGGTCTTTAGTGACTTTGATGATTTTGAAGAGCGCCAGCAAGCCAGTAATTTTGCAGACTGACCCTCAGCATGGGTTTGTTTGATGTTCCCTCGTGGCTAAATTCAGCTTATGCCAATTTTGGCGTGGTGAATGCTACAAAATTGGTTCGTGTTTTTCTTAGCACCTTCTCAGGAGGCACACGATGCCCATTTCTGGGCATGCTGATTTTCATCATAGTTAGGACGGAGACCGCCATGTTTTCACTCTAAAGTTTTTATTTCGCCTTTGACATAGTATCTAGTCGGGAGATTCTTTGAGACCGTGTAACGTAAACAAGTTGCTTCTTAGGGTACTTGCGCCCCCTAGTCTTGTGTAAGGTTCTATAGAGTGACAGAGGCCGATTACCGTAGGGTGTCAGCAAGGGTTTCCCAGGGTCAATTTCTCTCTTGCTCGCTAGCTCCTCTCCCCTGTATTAGCGTGATGCCTAGCACATAGTAAATGGCTGCTGCTTCTGATTAATTTCTTTGACCTCAGCACTTGGTAGGATACATTGTAGCTGATCTGCTTAAGTTTGTCTTTCCCACAGACTGTGAGCTCGTTGAGGGTAGGCGTAACGGCTTATTGCTTCTCTATCCCCAGTGCCTAGCACATATTAGGTGCTTGAAAAATAACGTGATTGACTTAGTGGCCTGGAGTAGGTATTGCGGAAGAAGAGAAGGGCTAGTAGGAGTCGGCCTGGGGATGGCATCTTTCCTGTCCTAAAGGGAAGCCAGGGCAGCAGGGCAAGGGGGATAGAGGGCGCGGTCGGCGTAGTCACTCTGCAAAGGGACCCACGGGTCTCAGCCACCTGGTTGCAGGCAGGGCCTCGGGTTTCCGCGGGTGGGGAGGAAAGTGGGGCGGGAAATCGAAAACCGAACTCGCAGCTCCCGGCATTCCCCGTGGGCGGTGCTCCCCTTTGACCCCTCGCTCGCGTGCTACACATCCGGGCCTCTGCTACTAGTGAGGGGAAGATGGCGGCCGCAACTGTGGTGGTTCCCGTAGAGTGGATAAAGAACTGGGAGAAATCAGGGAGAGGCGAATTGTGAGTGTCTGGGCTGGGGGCGGGCGCACGGCCGGGCCGGGCCCGGGCGTTAGTCGTGCTCTCCCAAGTGGGGAGAGGGTGGGGGGGGGAAGATGTGCCCCCTCCCCCATCCGGGCGGCGGGTGTGGGAGGGTTGGCTAGGAGTTTCGAACTCGGGGAGGAGAGGTGCTGGTAACCGCCGCCGACCTCCTTCCTTCCCTGACCTCTCCGAAATCCTCGTTGCCCGCCGTAGGCTGTCTTCCTTTAGTCTCGTAGCAGAACTGTTTCGCCCCCGCGGGTCCCCGCGCTCCAGCTCCGTCTCTTTTTGTCCCCCCTCTTCGCTTGAGCTCACTTGGCTCCTTTCTTTTTTTACGGGGCCGCGCCGGGGTGCCGGGGGGGGGGGGTTCGGACTTTCCGTCTCTCCGTCCCATTGCTTCACTCTGCACCCGTTCGACTCCGCAGTTTGGAGCCCGGCGCCGCCTCCGCCCGAAGTCCGAGGAGGGCGAACCGTCCCGACTCCTTCCCCTCCGCCCGCCGCCGCGATGCCCGGGGCGTCGCGAAGAGCCCCGCTGGGCACCCCTCGTCCTCCCGGGGAGCGGTCCTTGGGGTGGTCCCGGCCCCGCGCGGCGCGGCTGGCCGCGGAAGTGGGGCTGGGATTGCCGCTCTCCCCGAAGACCTACCGGCGTTTCTCTGCCCCGTCTTTCCACTTTAGAGCGATTTCGGGGCCGAGTCAACTTTCGTCATTAAATGTTTCCTAAACCCCATTTTGTCCTGGGACCGCAACTAATTTTGGCAACTCTCCAGGGTTCTCGAGCACCTGGAATAACGCGTTTCCTTTAGTCCTGAAACTTGGTGGGGTTTTTTTTTTTTTTTCCCCCCCCCCCCCGGTCATACAGAAAACAGTAATTTGCCATACCCGCGGTTTCCTCGCCCAAAATTTCAGGTCGCGCGCTCTCGGAGGGGGGAAAAAAAAAAAGAAAAGAAAGAAATCGTTTAAGTAGCAAAACAAACGCCAGATTCGAAAACAAGTAACTTATTTCTAATTTCTTTTTCTGAATGGCTTTATTAGCTACAGCTTAACATTGTATAAGATTAACTCGTTAGTCATTTTTGCGGTCTTCCCCTCCCCCGTCCCCTCCTCCCTTCTCCCCCCCGCCCCCCGCTTGTTAGTTTACGGTTGCTCGCGTTGCTCGTGCGTAATGTAACGAATCTTTGGAACTTCGTTACTTCCAACGAAATCCGTGGAACGCGTTCCCTGATCTTGCGCGTGTAATAATGCCAGCCTGTATGGCCTCCTCACCTTCCCCCCCCCGTGCCCCCCTCTCCGCGCGCCCCCCCCTCCGCGCGCACTCGCACTCCTTTACGAAGTCTTAATAGTGTGAGCTCTAGAATTGTATTTCCTGGGTAAGCGGCGGTCTTAGCCACTTAACTAGCTGAGTGACCTTGGGTAAGTTCCTTAACCACTTTGACCGTTTCCCCTTGAGTAAATTGGGATTAATAAGTACTCTACTCAAAGGATTGTTGTGAAGACTAAATAATGCCTCTAAAGCACTTGGCTTATAGTAAGTGCTCAAGTGATAGCTATTAAAAGTAATATTATTCCAATCTTTAGATATTTAAACTTCTCTGGACAGCTCTTGCTCTTAAAGTCTGTACCACTCAGGTTAGCAGTTAATTGGTCTCTGACTCTTTCTCCTGTGTACTCTTGTACTCTAACGAATTGAGAGACCCTTGAAGAGTGGGAACTATGTTTCATATTTATTTTGGTTCAACCCGCGGCCTCACCCCCCCCGCCCCCCGCTGTGCTCGCCCCCCCCCCGCCGTGCCCGCCTCCCTACCCCTCTCCCCCTAGCCTTCCTAGCGTTTGCTTAGAGTGCTTATTGGTTTATAAAGCGAGAAGTGTATTTGATAAAGATTCATTTGTAACTGTTAGGAAGTTTCCAGATCCTTGTACATGCTGTTTTAACAAAATAGCTATTAAGTCTCTTGTGTGTAGGGAAGGCATGATGGGAAGTTACCTAACCAAACCATTATTTTCATCTGTATTAGATTAGGATAACCTCCCCAAACTGATACATCAGTTCACTATTTTGTTTAGTTATTTAGGGCCTGTCATCTTTGTAGATTGCTCAGCTTCCTCCTTCCAGCTAACTGTTTTTGACAGTTTTATTATTGCTTTCCCCTTAGAATGAGTGGTATTAGGAATAGAAGGTGAAATTCTGCTTGGCTTTTTACTGGCAGTGGTTGGAGAAAAACAATGATGTAGGAGATTGGAATACCTTGTCAAAATGAGATTTTTGGATTCACTTTATGTATATTTGCATGATCCATGTTCCCTTTTTGTTCCTGAAGAGCTTCTTCAAAATCGTTAGGGTTTATTTGTATGTAGGTATTTTCATGGTTGGAGGACCATAGTTGGAATGGTAGATTCAAATCAGTATAGTCAGTTTTATAATTGTATTCTGTTAAAGGAAGAGAGTGTAAAGTTGTTAGTTGTGTGACAGAATGAAATATTTTAAATAGGCAAATACATCACCATCCAGTACCTGGGCTTCATTTATTGACCTCTTTCCCTTCTTTGAAAATTTTGTTGTGTACAGTCTAACTTCGGAGTGTTTGAATCTAGCATTTTCATTTTATTAGAATGAATGGTGTTGTAAATCTATTACCAAAAATCCTTTCCTTTGTATGAAAACAGAGCCTCTTAAATATAAACCAGCAACTGGAACTGTTAAAAATGAAGGTAGTGTGTCAACATATTATTAGTGAATACTTTTATAGATTTGGCTTTTAGAACATGACCAATAACTTAAAATTTTATCTTGGGTGGGGGGCGCCTGGGTGGCTTAGTTGGTTAAGCGTCCGACTTTCGCTTAGGTCATGATCTCACGGTTCCGTGGGTTCGAGCCCCGCGTCGGGCTCTGTGCTGACTGCCAGCTCAGAGCCTGGAGCCTGTGTCGGAGTCTGTGACTCCCTCTCTCTCTGACCCTCCCCTGCTCATGCTGTCTCTCTCCTAGAAATAAATAAAACATTAAAAAAATATATATCTTGGGTGGGTTTTTAGTTTTTCATGAGATAAATTAGCAGATGAGCTCTAACTTGACTGAAAATTACCTTTTTAAGAAAAATGCGTGATGTATTTCATGAGGTTGTTAGTTCATTTCTCGTCTCTCACTTCAACCAGTATATTTAGGGAGTTGTAGTCAACTTCAGGAACATAGTGCTAAAGCAACACATGAGATTTAGGGGGGCATTTAGTAATTTTCAGAGAGGGCAGTTTCTTAATTGTGCCTCCCAGAAAGCAAATGTATTAAGATGCAAAGTGTTGGCTTTGAAGAATAAGCTTTGTTAGGTAATTATGGGAAAGAAAAACTGTATTTTGCTTGTCTGAATGATCCATCACATAACCTAGCTAACCTGTTGTTTCCAGAGATACTGATTATGTTTTTAATGATAAATTATAGAACTCTTAGGACTACCAAAACAGAATTATTGTCTTTCCTAGTAACACTTAGAGCTATTCTTACAAGTGTCACATCTAAATGCAAACTTGCAAATTCTGCCACACATGAAAGGTACAGATTTAATCACTTAAATTTGAAATTAGTTTCTTGATGACTTTATGTTAGCATAGGACTTGCCATGATTATGCTAATAAACTTTTCATGTACTGGTAGATCCAGTGGTGAATTCTGTTTATAGTAGAAATCATTAACACAGTGAGTTCAGCATTTCTTTGTGTCACAGGCAACCTTAACTGGAGGATTTATGTTCCAGGGTCTTAAGCTGAAATGTTAGCCCCGTGTCCATACTTGTTCTAATGTAGAAATATTTTTATTTGTTGAATATTATTTGCTTGAAGATCTTCATTTTTCTTTTTAAACATTTATATATTAGAATTTTTGCTAGATGTTACCTTATTAATCATTGGTAATTATAGTAAGCTTTTAAAAATTTAGTTGCCAGGTGTTGTGATTACCATTCTTTTTCTTCTGCTACTAAATGATTTTATACCTTCCAGAACTTGTCTGAGTGCATGTGGATGTTCATTAAATGTTGTCTGACCTGAATTTTTTGGAGGGATGTTTGGGGGGGGGGGGTTATGGCAAATAATCATTCTAAGAGATTTGTCTTGGTGGTTGAGTCCTTTTTTTCTTTCCAAAAGATGCTCTAAATTCAGCTGAAGTTTTATCTAAAACCTTTTCTATGTATTTTAGTTTTCACTGGCATTTATTTTCTCATTTTGACCTGTATTCACAAGTTAAGAATAAGTCTTGGTCCATTTTCCTGGTAAGAGAAATGCATTTTTCAAAAAAATGTTGTAGCAAATACCAGGAGATTTTCTAGACTGTTGCTTTCTTTGTTAGAAAAATTATTCCCCAGCGCTTAACTTCTTTTTTTTTAACGTTTATTTATTTTTGAGAGAGACAGAGCGTGAGTGGGGGAGGGGGAGAGAGAAAGAGAGAGAATGAGAGAGAGATACAGAATCTGAAGCAGGCTTCAGGCTCTGAGCTATCAGCACAGAGCCTGACGCGGGGCCCGAACCCACGGATTGTGAGATCATGACCGGAGTGGAAGTGAGATGCTTAACCGACTGAGCCACCCAGGTGCCCCTCTCCTGCACTTAAATATTAAGGTAGAGAGAGTGCTATTAATGTACTTGTATGCAGGAACCTTTGTTCTTTTCTCTTTTTTAAATTTTTTATTTATTAAAAATTTTTTAAAAATATTTTTTATTTCTGAGAGAGAGAGAGACAGCGTGAGCGGGGGGGCGGGGTGGGGGTCAGAAAGAGAGGGAGATACAGAATCCGAAACAGGTTCCAGGCTCTGAGCTAGCTGTCAGCACAGAGCCCGATGCGGGGCTCGAACCCACAAACCGTGAGATCATGACCTGAGCTGAAGTCGGACACTTAACTGACTGAGCCACCCAGGCACCCCTCTTTGTTCTTTTTTAAACATTTCCTGTTTCTTTTCCTCCTCATAAGTGAATATTTTCATTTTTATAAATGCATGATTCAAGTT